ACTACTGAACCGATTTTGATAAAATTTCTATAAGACAAATCTAGAAGATAAATCTCATGCCGTATGGTCCCGGCATAGAATAAGCCACCGCTTTTTTCTGTAGGTGTCGTAAGATGCGACTAAGGGAACGTAATGATAGAGGGATGGGTAGCAGCGTCCCTCTTAAAACAACCTCAAAGCCTATCTGCAGTTGCCAACTCGCTTGCCAAGCGTGGCTACTACTGGCAAAACTCCCAATCGGAGAAGCCTATTTTTACTAGTGGACAGTTAACGGCTGATATGGTATGGTATACCATATCAAATCTATAAATATATAAAAAAAAGAGTATTCCAAATCGGTTAATAACTGACGACGTTCTGAGGCAATAAACATAATAAAGACCGCTTAATTGAGAACCTCTTTCTTTTTGAAGTCGGTTGAAAATAAAGCTACGTACGAATCACATAAATCTTTATTCAAGAACATTTTGTTACACCACAAGTTAAATAAATTAACAAAAGAACAGAGTTTACAAATTTACAACACCACTTTTTCAACAACTCTGCTGGCCTTTAAGCTGATTCTTCCATCTGTAAAATACATTTATAATTCATTAAACATTAATACTAATAGTAAACGATCCAAGCAATAAAAAAAATATCCTATTGCATATTTCGAAATTCGTTGCAGTAATACAATTATACGTTATAGCTGTCGAACCGACCCTCGTTTCATATAACTCGATTCAAAAATCTTATTTAAAATTTTTATTGTCATTATATTATGAATTGTATTTTATACAATTTGGAAATGACAAATGAGCTGACGGCCCAACCTCACTTGGTGAAACCTTTAACCGTCGCCTATAAACATAAAAAGCAACACGATCACAGAATACACTACATCGCTCTTTATATCCCTCATACGTCGTCATTCCAGAGGATTAAAATGTTATATTTCCGTACACTGTAATTTTAATGAGCTTAATAATAAATAAACGGTATTGATTACAGATCTCACTGTTTAATAGTATAAAATTTTAAAAATCCACGAACCGGTTCCTTAGGTTTTATATACAAGGCCTGACAACACCCGCGAACGAATATATTTTTTTCTATTATTTACAATTTTTTTTATGCTGTACTGCACAGTGCCATCTAGTCCCATTCTAAGCATAGAGCACTACTACATAAGTAGACAAGTACTAGACATTTGGCAAATATACTTAAGTACGTATATATTTTTAATAATACATACTAATGTTGGTACAAACGTTGTATTATACAGGAATCGAACCCGCATTTATTGGATAATTATGCATGCACACCACAACACAACACAAGCAAGACATTATTTCATAGATACCTATTTAAATCATAGAGAATAAGGACATATTGAAATTTTTAAAAACATGCGTAGGTACATACGTTGACCCCTAATCAATATTTACATCACTAAAAATGTTTTACCACAAACAAAAATGTACTTACTTAATTACCAGTCACCATAAATACCACCACTGTCGTTTAAATTTGTCTTCACTCAATAGCATGGCCAGTGACCGCAAAAAAAAAAACGCAAAAACACATAAAACACAAGCAATACACTCAAAAAAAAAATTATCAAACCATGCAATAAATAATCCTTTAGGTTCATTTCTTAATCTATTTAAAATAAAAATACAACATAACTTAATCGATATTAAATCAATTTTCTTATGTAAGTATTTGGTTTTCAAATAACAATTTTTAAAGTATTAATTAAATAAAAATGAACTAAAACTAGAAAAATAATTATGATTCTTATAAAAATAAGGGTATAAATTTACAATTTTCTTTATTTATTATTATTATTTTGTTTTCTTTTATTTACATACCTACTTGGATGACAATGAAATCAATTGTCCTAGGGTTGGTTGCCTTGACAAACTTGCTTTCAGTAATTATTGTATTTACACAAGTGTGTCCATAATAACTATTGTTTGTGCTCTTTTATTTTGCGTGTCGTATAATTATAATAATAATATTTTATTATATAATGAATTGTTCAGTCAAAAATACTCTATAGATTTTTTATTTTATAGAATCTGTAAATATAATATCATATATCATATACATATTATTAAAACTACTTAATGATGTTTTGAGCCAGTAACCGCAAATAGGCGTGTTTACCTCCAACTTGCTGGAGTTTCATCGGATGACCACAGAGTGTTTGTGGACAGGGTTTTAAGATATAGATGTTATTTTGTTAAGTATGTGATTTTAATCTAATTATTATTATTCCATTTAACATATGTACAATTGTCACAGTACAGTAACAATTATACATATGTTAGTAAGTAAGTATATACGAGTATACTAGCTGACTCGGCAAACGTTATTTTACTATATACATTATTTCTAGAACTATATATGAAAATTCATCGTACTACAATTATTACATTCGATTACCATCTTGTAACCCTATTGCGGAATATAAAAATTATAGTTCAGCAGTGGACAGATAACAGCTGATATGATGATATTATACAACACTATATATTTTCCCAAACTAAGTAGACTAAGTACTAACTAAGTAAAACTAAGAAGTAACTAAAAAGAAGGATTATGAGTATTAGATAAATTATAAAAAAAAAATTCAAATTTATATGACATATTATGCTTAGAAAATACCTAGACTAAATACAAGCAGGCATACTCATTAATACAAATGGGTGTAATGTGCAGGAATTGAACCCACGACAATTGGGAAATGTAGCGGTGAATTAAACAACCAAAGTGGACAGTTTAATGATATTTAAATATATAAAGATAATTTAAACATGTAGGTATATTATATTAAAATATTCTTCTACAATTTATTAATATAAATAAGGGGTAATTCGTTCACCATTGGTTACATCACACTATTTCCCATTACAACAAAGTACACAGTAGTTACTGTCAATTTTGTAACTAAATATTATTCCTGTCACTGTTAATGTTGTAATAACTAAAAATAATCGCATCGTAAGCGTGACTACACATGAATATGAGAATTAATGTTCTATGGCGCAAATACGAGTATGACCCGAGAAGGAATTACCTATATGGTTTCTAATATTTGAGAGCGGTCCATCGAGAATATAATGTACCTATTCATATTGATCGATATTGGAATTCTGATGTTACCACTAGCAACGTAATGACACCATATTATTGTTGCACTTTTATAAAAGATTTGTTTTATACATTATGCACAGATAGCCCACCACTGTCATCAGACGACGATTACCATCATTTGACAATGGAACTTGTCAAATGATGGTAACTGTCGTCTATAAATATTTATTTATTTAATAATTAGCTGCTATTCTCCAGCCCGGCTTCGTACCAGTAGATAAAAATTTCTAAAATAATATACAGCTTATGTTACTCGCTGATTATGTAGCTTTCTATAGGATAAAGACTATTTAAAAATAATTGAATAGGTTAGGAATTTATCCATTACAAACAAACAAACAATAAAATTTTTCATTTTTAATCGCCGACGCAAAAAGAGGAGTTTTATAAATATGACGTGACTTTATGTCTGGTGTCTGTCTGTGGCATTGTTGCTTCTAAACGAATATCAGTCCATTCGTTGATGTTTTTTCATTGTTTATGACGCGCTTTTTTTGTTTGAAAACTGATACGATCAAAATGGTTCTTAGCTACAATTTATGAAGAACTGGTCAGGCGTTTCGCGAGGTACTTAATTTTTTTAATTCCTTTATTGACAAAAAAAAAAACAGGTACAAAAGGCGGACTTAATGCTAGTAGCATTCTGTACCAGTCAACCTTTGGAATAAACAGTAAATCACGAACGTGATAACTCATTATTGAGATAGGTAAAGAAAATAACAATTAATAATATATACCTATACACAATAAATAATGTATACATAAATAACATAAAATGATGATTATAATATATGTATATATGTACATAAATATAAAGAAATATAGATAAGTAAGATCTAGTTAAATATATAAAATAAAAATAAGATATAAATGTTTTCGAAACGTAGTCTTGCAACTATAACTGCTTAGCAGCAGAAAAACAATATGTTAAAGATATCCAGTTACTAAACTTTGGCGAACTAAAATGATATTGTATTGGTATCATAATTGGTTTATAGGTACTTTTATGTAGAGTACCTATTTTATTAATATGAATAGCGTATCAATTTCAACACAATCTGTGATTGTTACGTTTCAGTAGTGAAAGAAAATTGTCGCTGACTATATTTAAATTGAAGTGCTGATGTCAGCGAGATTGAATAATAATATTACATAACCTACTGTTATATAATATAATTATTCAATGGGTATTAATTTTTTTTAATATTCAGCCATCTATTTATATTTCTTACTATATATGTATATGATGTGGTGGCATAGATTTACCAACCACAACATATTACCGGTTTTAATACGTGGGTTATTCGAATAATATTTACCAGAAAACTCGACACTGATAAGATTTTTTTTTGTATAATATCTGCCTTTAAGTGAATATATTTTAAGTTGTAATATAAATCGTGTTCCTCTTAAAACATCATCGAAGTCTAACTGCAGTTGCCAATGCACCTGCGAAACGTGGTGACTAACCCTCACTCTCTCTCTAACTTTTGGCCAATATATATTTTTAAATAAGAGTATGCAAGTAGAACTATTCAATTTAAATTTCTAAATTAATTTTTCTCATGTGATATTCATATAGTAATTGCGACCACTTTTAACTCATTTTTCAAAGTCATTCTTAGACAACAGTCAAAGTACGAAATCAGTAACGAAAAAATTAATTCTTTCGAATATACACATGAGGTTATTATATTATTCTTACATATTTTCGTTTCTCTCACATACTGTGTAATAACTATGAATTCTTATAAAGGCTCTGTATTGGGATGTTTAATCTATATTTATTATGATATACACAACATATCAAATTATTTATATAAAATGCCAAAACAAAAACCATGCAAAGCACTCACCTTTACCCAAAAATCCTGTACCACCCGTAACCAAAACACACTGGTCTTTATAAAACTGCTGTATCACAGTTTTCGAAGCGTTACCCTTTGTCAGTCTTCTCTTTTCTTCTTCTTTAGCCTCGGCCACGTCTTCTTCTGCATACAAATCATCCAGTTGGTTAGCGGACATGAATTCGTGGTCTTCTGAGGAGTCCAAAATTTCCGCAGCTGGATTCATCGCTTCGTTCTCAATTGCAGCAATGCGGACTGTGTTCTCCAGATCCTGGAAGATATTTGCAGAGTTTGACTATATGAAATTAGCTGGCTAGCGAAAGATGTGTCCCTCAATATGACAATATTAATAGTTTGTTGACATTTGGTGGAACTTTGACCGCAGCTTGATGTTATTGTAGTGTATTTTACTTGTGCCTTTGAAAATGACATGAAAGGTGAATCAGGTCACTTTTAGACAAGTGGCAATGGCGAATCTATCGCTAGATGCGTAATTGTTACTGCATATAAATGAGATATGCATGAGATGCAATGAACGATGGAACGAGATGGCAATGTCTAGCTCTTTTTATTTCTCATATGTATGTTTTATTTCTTATATATTAGATATTAAAATTATATATTAAATAGTTAAAGAAAACAATTGGAGGTTGTAATAAGCAGCAAAGTATTTATAAATTTGTTTACAAAAAGGTAATCTCTTGTCTGCTCAAAGAAGCAAAAATTTAATTTTGGTTACTATAAGAACAACATAATGTCTTCTAAACTCACGCGCAATTGATCTTGAAGCTCCTTGTTTAAATTCCTGACGTTTTCTAATTCTTTGAGCTGCTTCTCTGATGCTTTCCCGTACACGTTTATATCAATCTTCTCCCCTTTGGCCTGAGCTTCCACCCACCTCTCCATTTTGCTTTTCGTCAGGTCGGTGTTTAATAAAGGAGACTCGATCAGACTTTGATTCATGTTCTGGGGCAAAGGAAAAAAAAAAAAAGAAAATTAATAAAAACCAATGATTATGAAAGATAGATACTCTTTATTGTTTCTTCTAAAATATTTCTGCAGTAAAGTAAGTATTATAGATACAAACAATTATAAGAAATGATCACAATGAGAAAACAACGGGTCGCTAAAAGCGATCTCTTCCAGGCAACGTTTGGATGGTGAGGAATAATTATAAACAGTTTAATCGGAGACACGATAAAATACATTTTTAAATATGCATGGAGATGATTATTACAAGAATTCGACCAATTATTACAAATATTGACTATAAGTGTGAATGTAATTGAAGTGTAAAGACATGAAAGGAGATGGATGGAAGAGAAAAACATATTATAACAACCCAAATAATTAGGACAAGAATAGAAGGATGATGATGATGATCAAAGAATGTTCTTTTACAATTTATACAGGAGTAACTGACTGCGAAAAGCAGTGGACCATAAAGTCTACGTAGCAAGCAAATTAAAATTTTTCCTTTGAAAATCGCTTAATAATAGAATTTATTTAAACAATAGTGTAGTTATTATGTTTATAATAAAAAGACACATAATAAAAAAGTAACATTGTTATTTTGCTTCAAATTTTAAAATCATCAAATTAAATCTATACTAATATTAAAAAGTTGAAGAGTTTGTTTGTTTAAACGTGCTCAGGAACTACTAGTTTATTATATTGGTAGTATAATTATTTATTTTAACCTTTATTGTATAAGTAGGGATTATATTTAAATTTTTGTGTAATATTATAATATATATTAATATTTCATTTATATATTTTATTTATTTGTACCTTATGTATTAGTTTCATGTTGTTTGTAAACCCTCGTCCACTTTAGCTGTTCACTAACTACATCCTTTATCACGGTATTGTGTTGAATGGAAGAGAACTCCTTAGAGAAGTCCACCCTCGCTCATGATATTTATAACTGTCTTATTACAAGTGCATTACACAAATTAGGTAGCTTGCTTAGCTTAGGTTAGCAGGTAATGGTATACAGACTGTTGTTTTGTTATAAATAACAAAAAATATTAAACCCCACTGCTAAAGACGCACATATGCACACAAGTGACGTATATAAAAAAAAGAACAAAACATACGATTTTACGATCTCAATTTTTAGGGTCCAATGGATGAATGGTAAAACGAAATTTTTATAATTTATTGCAATATATTTTTGACGACCTCCGTTTCATAGTGGCCCAGCACGTTGCTTTGCGTAAATGAGGTTCTAGGATCGATTATTGATCGAATTAATTTAGTAAACAAACTTTCCTGTATTAGCCGCGAGTCTGGGTATTCTGGGATGTGGTCCCAGATGTTTGTTGGCTGGTTTGTTATAACTCACCCTGAGTTCACTCATAACTCAGAGTATCTTAACTTGAGGACCATGCGATAAGTTATTTGTATATCACAAAGGTGCCAAACAAGTATATAGCCCATCTCATGCCTAAACGATCACTGCAACACTAGGGGTGTCACGTGACACTTCTAGTGTTGCATCATCTCGTGTTGTGAATGTGTGGCATTTATTATTATTCTGTAATTTAATTTTGATTGTCAAGACACTTTGCAGAAAGATATTAACAAATAGAATCATGTGCGTAGAGTAATATATTTTTTGACCCTCTTTACACATCTAATGTTTGGAAGAAATTTATTTAAGAGAAGAAAAGAAAGAGAAAATGATGCAAAGATCTGCGCAGGTAGCGCCACCATATTACAGCGTACAAAAAACAATTGGTTATTATAAGTCTACTGAGAAATGATAATTTTAGACAAATTCTATAATGACGGTTAAATAAATTTTCAAACATTTTACTTTCCTGTCTATCGGTACAAATTTGAGATGAAGTGTTTATACAATATAACACAACGACTCCCCAATCGAAATAAATTAGCAGTTACGTTCTCTATTGGGATCTCTTTAAATGATTTGAAAGTAGCTTTAGAATTTTATTAATGTGCGACTGACATACTCCTAGACAGTTTATAAAAATTGGCTCATAACAAAACGATTGCAATATCTAAAAATAACTCATGCGGTTTCAAGATATTTTATTTAACTACAAATAAAAGCAAAAGGTAAACCTGTTTACCAAAACAAAACCTACGTCACTGCATGAATGAATGAGTCTAAAAATTTCCATAAATTATTTAAGATAATATTTAATTTAATTGACATAAGGTAAATGAGCTAGATATCGCAAAAGTATTTGTATCAATTTGTATGAAAGTTAAATATTAGTTTTAGGGATCAAAAATCATCTCAGCCATAATCTAACCTCCCCTGTAGACTGCCGTAAGGAACGGTCCTGAGCTACCTGCATCTACTGACTCCCTGCGATGCATTTGAGGTCATCACTTCATCCAGTAGGGAGTCATCTTACACTGGGTTTACCGATACGGGGTCACCACTTAAGAATCTTTCTTTCCTATCGGTTGCCGGGTCTTCAAACTGTGACCATTAGCACTTCAGATTGTTTATTTTTCGGGCTATGTCGGTGACTGGTTTGGTTGCGAATATCCTCGTTTCGGATTCCGTTACGCAAAAAAACTTCGAACATAGCTCTTCATAGCGCTTCATAGGCCGCTGGGTAATTTGAAGCTGTTGCATACGGGCAACCGTGATCAAAAATTAGATGGTTCTTAATCCGTTTATATTCTTGTTTTAATAATGTTTGTATGTGACGCGACATATTCGCAAAGTCTGAATCCACATTTTTATGTAAAATTCATGCTCATTTTGCGTACCGAATATTAAATTTTAATTATCTTTTTCTTTTATATATTTTTTTCTTTTGGGGAGAATATTAAACAGTATCTATCTCCTTTAAGTTCTATGTACATTTTAGGTGTTGCTTTTTTTAAACGATAAAAGGACCCCTATTAATTTTATCAAGATTGAATTAGGCTTTTTAATGACTCTTTTTTAAACTCAATGGATTAATTAAAACCGATATCTCATTTACGCATACGCAACATGTTCATAAAAGTTGTTAGGAAAATAATCTTGGATAATTTTGAATAAATTCATTACTATGGGCGTAATGGGATGGTTTCTTCTTCACCTCTCATCCTTCACTAGCGCCCTGCATGCGCAGCTGAGATTACGCCTTGCTTTACCCACAAGATTAAGACCTTTTTTTAATGTATGATAATGGAATGGTAATCCCGCCTACGTTAACGGTATACGATGAAGGGACACCAGTGAGGGGTGATAGGTGAGAATGAAAAGGCAGGTCAGTTAGTCTATCGTGATAATTATACCTGGATTTAAGCACGATAGTTTCTAGGGGAGACCACGTGGAGATCGACTTGACAGATATTTAGCGAAGAAGGAATAATTAGTAATGGGGATTAGCCCCATTGCCAGCAATACACTCTGTCAGGTCAACCTCCTCGTGGTTCCTCCTGGAAATCATGGTGTTTAAGTCCAAATGAATTCATCACGATGTGCTGACTGACCTGTTTTCATGCTCACCTATTTATATTATCTGTCACTGGTACCCCGCCAAAGCATATAATTAGCATAGGTGGGGTTACCATTCCATTATCATTCATTTAAAGACTATTGAAAGATATATGAGCAATAAGACTTGTAATCCGCTTTACTAACAATCCCATCCCCGACAGGCCTATAAATTCCTTTAAAAACATATTAATAAAGGAATTATTAATACTGTTATAGATTATACACTACTACAAACAAAGAAAATACCTTTATGTATTTTAAAAATGAGGAAGTTAATATTTAAAATTGAGGTAAACGGGTAATAAAGTTAATTAAAAGTAACTATAAATGTATGTTAAAACTTTTTAGGTTATTTCTTGTTATATCTAAATAATCAGATCGATGAACGATAAAGCTTGTTTGTATATACTTAAGTTTTAGTAGAAATTTTATTATCAACCTTACTATTGATTTCTTAGAAACCAATATGAAATTTAAATCCAGCAAATTAGAAACCCCAAAAAGAAAAAGAAACAAGATTATAGAAAGAAAACGCCACAAAAATGCTGAGTGTATGAAATCTGAAATAGTAATTAATTACGCCATTAAGAAAACAAACTTTTTTTCGTTTTTACCAGAGGGAGACTTTGTTCAAAAGTCGATTGCTTGGGTACCTCTGTCCCATTCGTGTTTCTGCCGTGAAGCAGTTGTGTTTGCATGGCTGTGAAGTTTCAGTTTGAAGGGTGGAATATGGCGTGTATTTACAGGGTACAGAGGAATAACACCTGAGTCCTCAAGAATGGCAACGCATGAAGGGTATCATGGACGAAACAGTACACTCTGTTATGTCCATGGTACTGCTCATGTCTATAGGCGACGGCTACCACTTTCCATCAGGTGGGCCGTCAGCTTGTTTGCCATTCTAAGTTGTATAAAAAAAAAAACTAGTGAGAGATATATCTTTAAAAAAATTTTTTTGCCCAATAAATCGCACGACATACGCATGGTAATACAAAAAAATACAGATCTTGCTCACACTTCTATATTTTGCTATGATATCTCGTTCTATTATTGCCTTTGCATCCCATATCTATAAAGTACTTAAAGGATGTATCATTAATCTGTGGTTTTTAAAGATAGTAGTTTATCTTATTTTACAGTACCAAAGCAAATTGTTTATAGTAGGTGGTGTTAATGAATTCATGAGATCCGTATTTGAAATCGCAATAAAAGACGCAATGTGTCTAATCATTGTATTAAGATGATGGTCACGTGCTGCATGGAAACACGAATTTTGTCATAGTAATAACGCTAACAATTGATATACTACATTTATGAGTGTATAAATAGAATCGAGGTCACAGTATAGGAAGAAACATACTTATTATGTGTATGTTATGCTAGAAAAATAAGCAAACTTAAGAGCTTTCATAAGTTTAGCTTATCGAAGTATGGCAACGTAACAATAATCTGTCAATATGGGAAGGGATTGTCATCAATACTGATTACCATTGCTTGCAATATACCCTGTCAGGTCGACCTCAACGTGGCCCCCTGGAAATCCTCGTGTTGGATTCCAGGTATGTTTGTCACGATAGGCTAACTGACCTGTCTTTTCATTCTCACTTGTCGCCTCTCACTAGAACCCCGGCAGTGTATACCCTTAGCGCAGGCGGGGTTACCATTCCATTATCACCCATTAGAAATGAAATTAGTCAATTTTCAAAAACAATTGAACATTTTTAATATTTCTAATTGATTATTTAAAAAAAGCTCCACGAGTACTAGCAAACCGAAATGTTAATATATAACTTAAACCATGACCATAGTTTTAAAAAGAATTATTTGAATAAATAATATAATTAGTTTTCGGCGTGGTCGATCTATTGTAGTTTGGAAATCTAATATCGTATACTAATTGGTTAAATAAAAAAAAGTGTTTAAAGAATTAAAAGTAAAAACTAAACATAACTTCATATGAGATAGTCGATTTGTTTTGTTCAAATAAACCTAGATATTTGAACAAGGTAAACCTCCGTGATATTTTGATACGCTATTTGTTTATATAGGTACATATACGCTATTAAAACCAAACCAATTACTGGCTTCATTATGAGCACGTTTTCAGATTTTTTCTACCAGGTTATTTAGATGATGATTCATTTGATAGACAGTGATAGTCTTCTATAAAATGGGATAGAACACACTGTAATGTTCTAATAAAAATATACAGCGGAAAAGGGGTATTAGTAGGGAGTATAAGTAGTGTTGTCCAACAGTTCTACTGCTGGGGGAAAGGGATTGTTAGTAATGGAGATTGAGAATCCTATTGCTAGCAATATACCCAACCAGGTCGATCTCCTCGCGGAAACCCCCTGGAAACTATCATGGTTTATTCCTGATGAATTCATCATGATGGGCTAACTGGCCTGTTTTCATCCTCATCGATCACCCTTCACTGGTGCCCCGCCAGCGTATCCCGTTAGCGCAGGTGGGGTTACT